CGCAACCCCTGTCCTCAGATATGAAAAATTCGTTTGAATGAAGTTATTGCTTCCAAACTAAATTTTATTCGAATGTATTGAAATGATACACGTAATTAATGAAGATTACCATCCAAACAACTGCATTTGTACGCATAAGTGTATTTTATTGCTTATTCCGTCACAACGCATGAAATGACCCTCATGGTGACTTCGCACAAAAAAACCACATGCAAATCATGAAAATGGCAGTTAATGTAGGGGTGTATAAAAGCCCATGTGCTTCCGTATTATATTCATTCATTTGTCGCCGAAAAGCTGTGTTAAAATGCCACGATTGAGTGCTGCCGACCGAAATATCGCCATTGGTCGTGTTCGCCGGAGAAAGTTTTGGAACTGTTGCACGGCACCTAAATGTTCACAAAACAACGATATCCCGACTTTGAGCCGCTACAACAACTTCAATTTGACCAACGATCGCCCGAGAAGTGGAAGGCCAAGAATCACGACCCCTTCAAGATCGGTACATCCGGGTCCATCACCTGCGTAATCGGCATGCCCTACCAACCGTGACTGCCACACAAATACCAGGTTTGAGGAGAGGTCAGCTCAAACGATTAGGAACCGTCTGAAAGAAGCGGGTTTACGTGCCTGTAGACCAGTTGTTGGACCTGTACTACGCCCCCTACATCGACGCCGACGACTCAGGTGGTGCAACAACGTAAGGATACGGACTTTACAAAACTGGAGGCGAATCTGGTTTCTGATGAATCACGTTTTCTTTGCAACGTCACGACGGAAGACAGCGTCTGTATAGGAGACGTCATAACGTTTTGCGCCCATCTGCGTCCGACAGGTGGACAGATTTGGCGGAGAAAGCGTCATGGTTTGGGGAACCATCTCATACAACCAGAAATCAGACTTGGTGATCGTTCCAGGAACCTGACAGCCCAACGTTACATCAACCACGTGTTAGAGCTTCACCTTCTCCCGATTATTGACCAACAGACACAGATTTTTCAACGGACAACGCCCGGCCTCATACTGCACGTGCAACAATGAACTTTCTGCAGAATTCCAACGTCAATGTCTTGCCATGACCCTCTAAATCACCAGACCTCAACCCTATTGAACACCTGTGGATACTCTGATCGACGCGTACGTCAACGTCAGCCGCCGCCACAGACGCTGCAACAGCTCGCCGTTGCACTGCAGGAGGAGTGGAGAGCCATTCCCAGGAAAGAATCCGGCGTCTTATCCGTTCTTGTCCAAGGAGATGCCGTGCAGTGATTGCAGCGCGTGGTGCCTATACGAGATACTGAGAAAGACGCCCCCTGGTGACAAACTGGTGTCTGTGAGATGACTTTGAAATGACAATTTTAAACATGCCCATCTGGGTTATTATTCTGCCAAATTTCAGACTTCTGTCTTAAATAATAAAAATGCCGTGTCGTCCTAAAACTTCAGATCAAAATCTCTAAAATACAGGGGTTGCGTTTCTTTTTGACAGAGTTTATCTGTTCTGACAATTAAGGGTTTTCTTAATTCATGTTAAGAAAAGAAGAGAAATCCCGCCGTGATGGATCATGAGGATGTGTGTTCCATGGAGGACACATTTTTTCGTCTTCTGGACAATTAGATATATTATTTCAGAAAACACTCAGTGTTGATAGAGAAACCTCTTCACATCAAACAAAGCACGTTCCCTTTGCGGAACGACCCGTGAAGGTCCGGGTTAGAATATTGATCTTCTGTAACCCATGCTTTTCGTAAGAGGCGACTAACGGCATCGGGTGGTCAGACTCGCTGACGGGGTTGACACATGTTATCGGTTCCCAATTGCACAGATCGATGCACATGTTGTTGATCACTGGATTGTCTGATCCAGACTCGATTATTTACAGACCGCCGCCATATATCTGGAATAGTGCGGCGTAAAACTAAACTCACTCACTATTGCTGAGTGCGGCGTAAAGCTAAACTCACTCACTCACTCATCGTTAAGCAATCTGGCACTTTCGTCTTATGCTCCATTGTGTGCCTGGATGGTTGCTATTGGCGAGTTCCCGAGGACTTGTCGGAAGAACTGGTCGCTCAACATGTGCTCAGCTGACGTTCAGGTCCAGTGATTGCATTTGGACAATGTTCCCCAGAGATTATACGGCATTCTAAGATGCTTCGGTGAAAGATAAAAGGGGCCGACAGTACTTTATCACTCTCCTACCCAGAGTTCCATGCGGCAAGCCAGCATAGTACCTCTGCCACAGGCCAGAAAGATGTCACGATTCGTCACATCTTGCAATGTCCATTCAATATAATCTACATATTTCTTAGCTCTTTTATTTTTGACGAGGCTACACATCTAATTAAACATCTTTGATAGAGTGGTTTAGTTTCACTGAGAAAATATCCTAAATCATGTAACACTATTTTGATTTGCGTAGCGATCCTTTGTTTACATAGGTTGTACGGCTCCACGTGCTGTCATCGAAGCCGACGGAGAGCAAACGATGCAACCAGTTTGATATCTAAATATGTACTGTCATAAATGTTACTGTCGCAGTTGTGGAAGAATATATATGGAACAATGTAAAACATTGTGAAGAGCGCGCCGAAAAGCTTGCGTAAGCCAGTCTCTTCTTATTATGAATATGCGCGTTTGTTTACAAACAAGACTGACTGACTGAGTTTAGTTTTACGCCGCTTTTAGCAGTATTCCAGCAATACCACGGCGGGGGACACCAGAAATGGGTTTCACACACTGCGCCCATGTGGGGAATCGAACCCGGGTCTTCGGCGTGACGAGCCAACGCTTTAACCACTAGGCTACCCCACCGCCCCTTATAAACAAGAGAAAAGTTCGGTCACGTGATATGCAAATTAGCCTGTGGCAGTGATGTTATGCTAAGTCATCACTGCGCCGGAGTGTGGTATTTATCAGACGATATTATGCACTTTTTTGCATTACGTCACAATGTAATGCCATTTTAGTCTGCCCCCTCGTAATCGAACAATTTTGCATTACTTCACAATGTAAGCGACGTCACGATGCATATCTGTTTTCATCGCCTCGTATGTTTAGCCTCCTGCAGTAAACTACTCTGTTGCATCCCGTTTCCTGGTTTGCAGTTGCTTCACGCAGCTAACATCACTGGTGGATTCATTACGTTTATGCTTTCCAACGGATAAAGTGTCGCAATTCGACTCACAAGTTTTCACATTCGTGACCAACTCGTGTTATTCCGGGACAAGCCGAATAGCGAGGTTACGGAAAGTCGCAAGTGGTGACGAATGAAGTTTTCAGCGACACGGTCAGTTTGAGAAATATTTTAAAGTCATTTTTGACTATCTGCTTTGGGATTTAATGTAGCTGATAAAATATTATTTTATTTGTATATTCAGTAAGACAATTCCCATTTGTGATGATTAAACCCTATTAAGAAAATTAACATAATTTGAAATATAAGGTGAACAGCTGGTCATAATTACATTAGAATATGTCTGTAACAAATATGTTTTTCTCCTTCTTTTAGTTGTATCAAAGAGGTTTAATTCTTTAAAATAAATAAGTAACGAAACCCCCCCCCCCCAAAAAAAAACAAACCTAGCAATACAATGTAAATGTGCTTCGGTGATTTTTAGAAATATTGGAATCACACAGGGATAGAGTTATCGTTCTTGTTTAAAGTAGTTCTGATGTTCATGTGCCAATATGAAATCCTTCAAGAGGGGCACGAGTCGCTATTCGGCTTGTCCCGGAATAACACGAGTTGGTCACGAATGCGAGACGGTAACGTTCGCAATGTTTACATCCTACAATGCAATCGTGGAATGTCGCTTGACTACTCAGCTTCATCTGGATACATACTGATCTAAACTTACGTTGGTAGTAGAAATGCGACGTTCATATTGCCCCATATGGTTTACGTTAATCACAGAGGTAATTAAAATAATTTAGAGAAGATATTTAATCCAAACGTAAACCGTCATCAAACTGTTTATCATTTGTTTTTTCTGGTAACGTTCGTCTTAACGTAGGGGGCAGATACATCAATAGAACAGCGCGCCAGTTAGCCCTGTGCGAGGAATGTTAATTTAGGTCACTGACACCGTCGTTTAATTTTCGCCTTAGATTAATCGTAATTATCCTCAGAAAGTATTAAATTTGGCATCTTAGAAAAGAAATACAGTTCGCTCTACCACCATGTATAGTGTAATAAAGCACACTTTCGCCCTGAACAACAGTGTTATTTAAGGAATAATAATAGTTCAGGCTTACTGATCGATCATTCTTTTACAAACACCAAAGGCGTTTGCAAAAGGACATTGTGTAGACCCAGCTCCAAGCATGCCTAGGAGGGTAAATGGGTTAATTTACAGCTAAAGTCTCTTTTTTAGGCTATTTTCCCACTTTTTTTTCTCTATCGAATCGCTAAATAATTGTTTCATTTGAAAATAAGTACGTCAACACACCCGTCAACACACCCGTCAACACATCCGTCAACACACCCGTCAACACACACCCGTCAACACACACCCGTCAACACACCCGTCAACACACACCCGTCAACACACACCCGTCAACACACACCCGTCAACACACCCGTCAACACAAACCCGTCAACACACACCCGTCAACACACACCCGTCAACACACCCGTCAACACACACCCGTCAACACACCCGTCAACACACCAGTCAACACACCCGTCAACACATCCATCACACTCATCGTGATAAAAAAATGTCGATGTTACTCCGCTTTTTACAAAATTAGATAAACTGTGAAGATCGTGGTTAGATCTTCAGCAACGCAAGCTTGTCGTCATAGGCGACTAACGGACACGGGTGTTTTTGGTTGAATATTGGTGTCGACCTCACGCTATCTCACGTCAGTTGCTTCACCTAAGACGATTAGGTCACTTGTGATAACATATTAGGAAGTATTTCACCCAAATCCTCTTTGTCCATACAATTGGCTAATGTGTGTTACATGGACTGCGATGGCGATTGAATGACCAATGGTCAGGAACTGGGTGACCCCCAGTGCATCTGGACACCTTGAGCCACGCCCACAAGGACCGCTGTTCTCACACACCCAGGTATGTCCTTTTGTGCCATGGAACTTGAATGAAGACAATGTTCCTTTTAGGAGATTGCTGGATTTTATACATCATTATACATCATAGCGAGTTAATACTTGTATCTGCTGAAAATAACGACCACTGAATGATTTGTTTTGCAAACATCATGGTTTTTAAACCATATGAAAACCGGTATGCTCGTAACACTGCCACACTGCCACACTGCCACAAGCAGGGTCAGCCGATTTGCAAACAATCTGGATCCGCTGAATTACTTATAAGTAACTTCGACAACGAAAACATGTGCTATTTACAATAGTTTAATCAGCATTAAGTATATAAATCAAAGCTGACAATAATGGCAATAACATTGATCAACATTCCAACACAAGAATCCATATTGCGGGGAATGCAATTGCTTTAATGTATGCACATGACTTGACACGCCAACAAAGTATTTAGCCACAGAGGGTAGCATCAAACAACGTACATTAGACCTGTCATTTAAAGCAAGTGGCGAAACGAATTTCAACTGACAGAGTGAACGAACCAGAACAATGATATCCTGGAAACGATGGCTGTTGCAGATGAAATGGTCGGTAATCGACTGATGCAACCATTGGTCTCCCAAGAATGGAAACACATAGATGGAAAAGTGTAAGTTAGAAATAAAACCAGACAACACGAACTTTGTGGAAAGAAGCAAGCCTGCATGTTTGCTTTTCCAAGCCTTGGTTCAGACGCGTGGTCTAGACGACGAATGAATTTCGCCAAGACAGGCGAGCAGAAAAGAAATACCTCTCTCTAATTGAAATTTCTCGACATTCCATAGTGACGAAAGTGCTCAGCGTTTGTTTTCTTAGCTTAAAAATTTACATTTATTTGGAAATGAATTGAATTACACGTATCCAATTCAGCTAATCAGAACGCGAAAATGGAACTGAACACAACAAAATATTTATTGGTGGTTTTTTTTTTACACATTTGCAAGTAGCAAGCTAAAACTGAAAAATGTGAAATGTCTTGATTTCAATTGCAAATCGTTTCCCAATATGGTTATTGTATGCAAACGTGTCACTATTTCCCTGCAGACCTTAGCGATATTGCTTCTTATATTGTAAAATACCATCAACTAAATTGTCATAATAAACCAAATTTTATTTTAAATGGGAAGAGATAAAAAAAAACAAGTACATCGCAGCGTATCGATTGAATATTCAATCGCCACTGATACTTATGCAAATAGGGGAGCTGAAAAACTTTTTATACAAGGAAACAGAAAGGATAAGGAAACAGATTCGTTCCTTCTCAACACACTTTAAATGAAATACAGGCATTTCAACACCATACTCAACAACATTCAAACTACATACCAGAAATTAAAGTCTTATGGCATGTAAATAATCGAAGCTGGACTAGACAATCCAGTGACTAACATCATAAGCAACGGTCCACACAGTTTGGTTGCAATGTCACACAAGGCAGCCAACCAGTGCACGCCATCCATTAACTCTCATTAACTCGACCGTTCATTAGGTTACCTGGAATCTGTTTCATCCCAGAGTCACAACGGAACACAACAGACTGGGGAGAAAGTTCAGGAACACCTCATCAGGCTGAGGAGGAAGTCACGGAACACCTCAGCAGGCCAGGTAGGAAGTCACGGAACAACTCACCAGACTCGACAGGAAGTCGCGGAACACCTCAACAGGCCAGGCAGGAACTTCCGGAACACTTCACAAGACCGTGGAGGAAGTCCCAGAAGAGTTCACCAGACTGAGTAGGAAATCTCGGAACAACTTACCAGACCGGGCAGGAAGTCCCCAAAACACTCACCAGATCGAGCAGGAAGTTCCGGAACACCTCACCAGACCGGGGAGGAAGTCCCAGAACACATCACCAGACCGCTGAGGAAGTCCCAGAAGAACCCACCAGACTGAGAAGTAAATCTCGGAACAACGTACCAGACCGGGCAAAAAAAGTCCAAAAAGAACTTACCAGACTGACGAGGAAGTCTCGGAACACCTCACCAGAACGGAGAGGAAGACCTCGCTAGTTCGGGGAGGAAGTCCCAGTACACTTCAACAGACTAGGGAGAAATCCCGGAACACCTCATCAGACTCTAGAAAAAGGCCTGGAACATCTCACCAGACCAGGGAGGTAGTATCGGAACCACTCACCAGACCTGGAAGGATGTACAAAACATCTCACCAGACCGGCGAGGAAGCCCCAGAACAACTCACCAGACCGGGCAGGAAGTCCCGCAACACCTCACCGGACCTCGCAGGAAGTGTCAGAACGCCTCACCAGCCTAGGGAGGAAGTCCCGGAAGAACTCATCAAATTGCAGAGAAAGTCCCGGAACACCTCACCAGACCGGGAAGGAGGTCCCGGAACAACTCACCACGCCGGGCATGAAGTCTCGGAACACCTCACCAGACTGGGGACGAAGTCCCGGAAGACCTCACCAGACTCTAGAAAAAGTCCTGGAACATCTCACCAGACCGGGGAGGTAGTGTCAGAACACCTCACCAGACTGGGAAGGAAGTCCCGGAACGTCTGAACTGTCTTGTGACGACGTCCCGGAAACCTCACTAGTCCGGGCAGGTAGTCCCAGAATAACTAACCAGACTGGGGAGGAAGTCCCGGAACACCTCACTAGACTGGGATGGGAGTCTTTGAAAACCTCACCAGACTCGGGAGAAAGTAGCGGAACACCTCACCGGACCGGGGAGGAAGTCCCAGAACACATCACCAGACCACTGAGGAAGTCCCAGAAGAACCCACCAGACTGAGAAGTAAATCTCGGAAAAACGTACCAGACCGGGCACGAAGTCCCAAAAGTATTCACCAGACTGACGAGGAAGTCTCGGAACACCTCACCAGAACGGAGAGGAAGTCCAGGAAGACCTCGCTAGTTCGGGAGGAAGTCCCCGAACACCTCAACAGACTGGGGAGAAATCCCGGAACGTCTGAACAGTCTTGTGACGACGTCCCGGAAACCTCACCAGTCCGGGCAGGAAGTCCCAGAATAACTCACCAGACTGGGGAGGAGGTCCCGGAACACCTCACTAGACTGGGATGGGAGCCTTTGAAAAAGACACCAGACTCGGGAAGAAGTAGCGGGACACCTCATCAGTCAGGGGAGGAAGTCTATGGACACCTCACCAGACCGGGAAGGAAGTCTCAGAAGAACTCACCAGACTGGAGAGGAAATCCAGGAACGCATCCCCAGACCGGGGAGGTAGTATCAGAACACCTCACCAGACTGGGAAGGAAGTCCCGGAACGTCTGAACAGTCTTGTGACGACGTCCCGGAAACCTCACCAGTCCGGGCAGGAAGTCCCAGAATAACTCACCAGACTGGGGAGGAGGTCCCGGAACACCTCACTAGACTGGGGTGGGAGCCTTTGAAAAAGACACCAGACTCGGGAGGAAGTAGCGGGACACCTCATCAGTCAGGGGAGGAAGTCTATGGACACCTCACCAGACCGGGAAGGAAGTCTCAGAAGAACTCACCAGACTGGAGAGGAAATCCCGGAACGCATCCCCAGACCGGGGAGGTAGTATCAGAACACCTCAGCAGGCCAGGTAGGAAGTCACGGAACATCTCACCAGACTCGACAGGAAGTCGCGGAACACCTCAACAGGCCAGGCAGGAACTTCCGGAACACTTCACAAGACCGTGGAGGAAGTCCCAGAAGAGTTCACCAGACTGAGTAGGAAATCTCGGAACAACTTACCAGACCGGGCAGGAAGTCCCCAAAACACTCACCAGATCGAGCAGGAAGTTCCGGAACACCTCACCAGACCGGGGAGGAAGTCCCAGAACACATCACCAGACCTCTGAGGAAGTCCCAGAAGAACCCACCAGACTGAGAAGTAAATCTCGGAACAACGTACCAGACCGGGCAAACAAAGTCCAAAAAGAACTTACCAGACTGACGAGGAAGTCTCGGAACACCTCACCAGAACGGAGAGGAAGACCTCGCTAGTTCGGGAGGAAGTCCCCGAACACTTCAACAGACTAGGGAGAAATCCCGGAACACCTCATCAGACTCTAGAAAAAGGCCTGGAACATCTCACCAGACCAGGGAGGTAGTATCGGAACCACTCACCAGACCTGGAAGGATGTACAAAACATCTCACCAGACCGGCGAGGAAGCCCCAGAACAACTCACCAGACCGGGCAGGAAGTCCCGCAACACCTCACAAGACCTCGCAGGAAGTGTCAGAACGCCTCACCAGCCTAGGGAGGAGGTCCCGGAAGAACTCATCAAATTGCAGAGAAAGTCCCGGAACACCTCACCAGACCGGGAAGGAGGTCCCGGAACAACTCACCACGCCGGGCATGAAGTCTCGGAACACCTCACCATACTGGGGAGGAAGTCCCGGAACACCTCACCAGACTAGAAAAAGTCCTGGAACATCTCACCAGACCGGGGAGGTAGTGTCAGAACACCTCACCAGACTGGGAAGGAAGTCCCGGAACGTCTGAACTGTCTTGTGACGACGTCCCGGAAACCTCACTAGTCCGGGCAGGTAGTCCCAGAATAACTAACCAGACTGGGGAGGAAGTCCCGGAACACCTCACTAGACTGGGATGGGAGTCTTTGAAAACCTCACCAGACTCGGGAGAAAGTAGCGGAACACCTCACCGGACCGGGGAGGAAGTCCCAGAACACATCACCAGACCACTGAGGAAGTCCCAGAAGAACCCACCAGACTGAGAAGTAAATCTCGGAAAAACGTACCAGACCGGGCACGAAGTCCCAAAAGTATTCACCAGACTGACGAGGAAGTCTCGGAACACCTCACCAGAACGGAGAGGAAGTCCAGGAAGACCTCGCTAGTTCGGGAGGAAGTCCCCGAACACCTCAACAGACTGGGGAGAAATCCCGGAACGTCTGAACAGTCTTGTGACGACGTCCCGGAAACCTCACCAGTCCGGGCAGGAAGTCCCAGAATAACTCACCAGACTGGGGAGGAGGTCCCGGAACACCTCACTAGACTGGGATGGGAGCCTTTGAAAAAGACACCAGACTCGGGAGGAAGTAGCGGGACACCTCATCAGTCAGGGGAGGAAGTCTATGGACACCTCACCAGACCGGGAAGGAAGTCTCAGAAGAACTCACCAGACTGGAGAGGAAATCCCGGAACGCATCCCCAGACCGGGGAGGTAGTATCAGAACACCTCACCAGACTGGGAAGGAAGTCCCGGAACGTCTGAACAGTCTTGTGACGACGTCCCGGAAACCTCACCAGTCCGGGCAGGAAGTCCCAGAATAACTCACCAGACTGGGGAGGAGGTCCCGGAACACCTCACTAGACTGGGGTGGGAGCCTTTGAAAAAGACACCAGACTCGGGAAGAAGTAGCGGGACACCTCATCAGTCAGGGGAGGAAGTCTATGGACACCTCACCAGACCGGGAAGGAAGTCTCAGAAGAACTCACCAGACTGGAGAGGAAATCCCGGAACGCATCCCCAGACCGGGGAGGAAATCCCAAAACAACTCACTGAATCAGGGAGGAAGTCCCGAAACACTTCGCCAGACCGGGGGGGGGGGAGTCCCGGAACAACTCACCAGACTGGGGAGGAAGTCACAGAATAAATCACCAGACCGTGGAGGAAGTCCCAGAAGAACTCACCAAACTGGGTGAGGAAATCCCGGAACAACTCACTGAATCAGGGAGGAAGTCCCGAAACACTTCCCAAGACCGGGGAGGAAGTCCCGGAACAACTCACCAGGCTGGGCAGGACGCCCCGGAACACCTGACATCATCGAGCATTGACTTTGGCTGAACATTTTGTCTTTGAGTTAGAAAGGATGTCATCTAATGTATTTAAATTTCAGAAGCTACGTCAGAACCACGATGTTCTAAGGGAATACACGAAGCTAGGAGAAGGTAAATTTATTCCAATGGAAAGGAAAGTTGTACGTCATCGTCACAGTTTCATGATTTCGGTCCTGTCCGTGTTATTGTTTCGACGGGATCGATTCAACTTTTCATACAAGTGGCCATTGTTATTACCAGATCTTTCTGCTAAAATAGGATTTGGCTGATGATCGACATGCATATCTGGAATGGTAACGTATGAATGTGTCCTGGACTCTCTTGCCTCGTCTTCTCTTCTGGTGGAACTCTGATGGTCACAAAGCTCAATATCGCACGTGGAGCCTCTGTAACATATACAATATCTTTAGTATTTACAGTATAAACAGAGACACCCGATGATCCAGACAGGTTTCTGCACAGTGAAATCGTCAGGGTCAGGATATTCTGGATAAGCAGACACTGAGTATACATTGCTGTCTGTATGTATACATGGATGCGTTTTCTGTCCAAAAGGGCTGCAACTGTGCGTGATATCATGCAAACGTCGATACGTGTCACAGGCCGATTAACGAGTATGATAGGTGCGTTAAGTCATCACAGGCCGATTAACGAGTGTGATAGGTGCGTTAAGTCATACAGCAAGGATCATTCACAGTATTCCAGATTATTATGGAAGTCCCGGAATAACAACAGTGACGTTAACACACTTCTTGATTTGTGATGTGTAACACACAGATCACTGTGCATATATATAAGCGCGTACAACCAGTAATGAGAACATAGCCAGGCAAGCCCAAAACCTATTGTTTGTTCGTCCCGATTGTCAGCACTAAAGCCGTGCTCTAGTGTTTCTCCAGACTGGTGACCGTTTGACACATGTATCACTTGGAGCCTCTAATCACAGTTAGTGGGAGTAATTGGACCACTCACCCACGTACTCACTCACTCACGTACTCTCTCACATACTCTCTCGCTCGCTCGCTCCCTCAGTCACTCTCGCTCGCTCACTTACGTACTCACTAGCGTACTCACTCACTCCTCAGTCACTCACGTACTCTCTCACTCCACTCACTCTCACGTACTCTCTCACTCACTTACTCACTCACTCACTCTACCTGTGAAGGTCCGGGTTAGAATATTGATCTTCAGTAACCCATGCTTGTCTTAAGAGGCAACTAACGGGATCTGGTGGTCAGGCTCACTGACTTGGTTGACACATGTCATCGGTTCCCATTTGTGCAGATCGATGCTCATGCTGTTCCTCACTGGATTGTCTGGTCCAGACTCGATTATTTACAGACCGCCGCCATATAGCTGGAATATTGTTGAGTGCAGCGTAAAACTAAACTCACTCACTCACGTACTATTTCGCTTGCTCGCTCGCTCGCTCCCTCAGTCACTCCCCTCAGTCACTCACGTACTCACTCGCCTAATAGTCTGACTGACTGAATATGGTTTTACGCCGTTTTTAGCAATATTCCAGCAATATCACGGCGGGGGACACCAGAAATGGGCTTCACACATTGTACCCATGTGGGGAATCGAACCCGGGCCATCGGCGTGACGAGCGAACGCTTTAACCACTAGGCTACACCACCGCCCCTCGCCTAATATAACTATATAAACGTATGTTAAGACACATGAATAATTTCATCAATTGCATTTAGTTCTTTGAGCAGGGATTTCTTAAAAGTATGGGATTTGTTTAATAGCTGATATTGCACACTTTGAACATGCTGATGATTTAATCTCTTAAAGCGTAAACCATTCTCTTGAGTCGAGTTCATGATTGCCACTATCAAAACCTACTTCATATTATCTATGTAAGCGACCTTCATTAGCTTTTAAACTACTTTTTTTCATCAACTGACCAGCATGTAATAATAAAACTGTCGCTCTATATCAATTATGCTCTTATTAAACGTAACAATCTGATAAAAAGTTTTGTAGACCCATCGTATTTCACTACTTGTACATAATTTACTGCCTGTATCATGATTTGCTGTTTAGATCACTAATTACTACTTATTGACCATATGTATAATGTATATGTATAACCTCAATGTATATGGGCCGGAGGCCTTTTGTACAATAAACATCTTTTTACTTTTGACTCTGATTGCCACTATCAAAACCTACTTCATCATTTAATAAAATTCAGTGAAATTAAAAATGTCATAATGACGGAATAAGACCAGTGGACTCAATAAGTTATAATTTCCTTGTCAGTGGAGAAGATACACACGATAAGGTCTATCACTATTACCTTTCCTCGCGCCCGAACTTCACTCCTGCCTTATATGCAAGTCGAGCAATGCACAGGAGGGCGAGAACTGCAGCAGTTACACCGACAGGTATCCAAGGCACCGTCCATATGTCTGTCTGCGCTTCATCATCTGTCAACACATCGTTTAACAGCGTACATTTGTGATCACGTCTCCGTTTATTTCTCAGTTTATTTATTATTGACATGGAAATGTAGAGGGGATCGTCGCCCAAAAGCGGACACTAGTCTGTATACAGTTTGTAGCTGCAATTCTGTGAATATTGATACTACTGGATTGTAACTGCATGTGTTATATTGCTTGTTGAGAACAGCACAATTCCTATTCGAATTAATAATTTGAAAATTTAAACATTTATAACTTTATTTCCATTTTTTCTGACTGAAAAGCGTGTGAAGATCAATATGAGTTTGCAAACTTATATTTCACCAGGTTCTGAGGGGACTAATGTGAGATCGTGTTCTACAGTGTGACATGATGAATCAAGGTGATGATGTAACAACGTAAACAACTGGTAGTGCTTCCGGTGGGATGTGGCGTCCTCGACCTGTTGAGGTACATGTCACATTTAGATACATAGTGCCTTTTTAATACTTTCAATAATTGGTTATATTTAAGATTCGAACCCACACTTTCAGTGTCCATAATGTTGACAACGGGAGCCGTTACAGTCGTTTTGTGTACAGAGGGGTACACAAAATACGTGATCTGGACTACCAGTTGTCAGATGTCATTTTTGTGGAAGTTCGGTGGCTGAGTGGGTTAGATTGCAGACATTGAGTGCTGGCAATTAGGTACCTTACTCTGTGAGTGTGGGTTCAAATCCCAGCTGGTACCCATCCCCACAAAGTACTCAAATGTGTGCGTAACAGAAAATGTAATTTAAAATTATATAACATATGCAGCACATGTCAAGTTATGGGGATGAAGACAAACAGTTTACATTATGCTGGGGAGATGTGTTCCTACCGCCATGGTGTAATCGTGTATCATGGAAAGAAATGGATGCATAAACTGATACCTTCATTTTGGGGATCGGGGCCGTCGGTGCAGATGTTCGTCTGGTTTCCCGTGATATATTCGAGTGTACTGTTGTGCGATGTCACACACGCTGTTAATGGAGGTGTTACGCAATTTTCAGCATTATCTCCGCATGAAGTACAGTTCAACGAGAACTGGTCACACGATCCGGTTTTGCAGCTTTGAGGACAATATTCCTGGCAGAATATCCCTGCAAATCCACTCCTACATCCTTCAGAGCACTTGAGTTGACCTTGAAAGAACTCGCAAATTCCGTTTTTACACCTCTCACTACAAACAGATTTACACTTATCTGCGCGCCATTCCTTGCCACATTGTCTAGGACACCTGAAGCATGCCTCATTGCCCATCTCGCACGTGTCCCCACATGGCTGACAGTCCACCTGTACGTCATCTATGGAACAGTATTGATGTCCTGTAAGTATAACAACATTGATTCACTGTCAAAACGGGACCCAACACTTTATTCGTGAAGGAATACGAGTATGATTACTCGACTGACATTTTCCCAGTATTTCCTTCATACTGCTATTGCAATGCGAAGTGGTTAGAAAGTTAACGATCTGTTTATAAGATTATTGCACTTATATGTGTGTGTATGTGTGTGCGCGCGCGCGTGCGTGCGTGCGTGCGTGCGTGCGTGTGTGTGTGTGTGTGCTTCTGGCTTCTGTGTGATCGTTCTTGTGCGTTCGTGCGTGCTTGTTTGTGGGTGCGTGTGGGTGGGTGGGTGGGTGGGTGAGTGTCACATTTGATATGTAGGTGGATATCCACATTTGGCCGATACACTGATACAAGTGAAATACGGGTGGAAGCTACCTTCTCATTCACTCATTGTCTTGATGACAAAATTCTGTTATTATGTAGTTACTCCTTCCGTTTGAATACACATAGGACAGCCACGGACGAGCCTATCGTATTAGTCTACTTACAGACAGACAGACATACTGACACTTTATTCGGTAATATCCGGCCTTATGGCCCATTTTACAGTTTATATATAACGTATTTATAATGTCACGTGAGTGCAAATTGAAGTAAGTATCTAGCAATAAAATATATGTTTTAG